TTAAACACACATTTTATTATAAGATTTATGTGGGCAGAATTTAGTTACACACCAAGTAAAAAATATCAGTCCGCCTCAAACGCGCTAACAAAGTTTATCCTAAAATGACATTATGTAGGCACTAGAATACCTAAAATATACGTATATTTAATTTACAAAACGTTTAGAAAACATATATCTATGGTTTTATTAAATTGTATGTATCTATAAAATCGATTCCAAAGTATTTTGTTTTCATTTGATAACATTTTAAAGCACCGTCAGTGTGTTTTGTCGTATGCAGTTAGCAATGTCACCAGCTGGGGGCGCTCCTGATTCATTACAGCCAGACCAGAAAAGGAATTGATTGTGTTTAATGTGTTACATGCCTAAGATAATGTTTACAAAATAATATTTTTTTTAGCCTAGATAGTTTAAATTTATAATTAATAAAAACAAACTGGTAGCCTGATTTGACAAGTGAAGATATTCTAGTAGATATCATTGTCAATCAGTCCATCAAAAAATATTGTTACCTCAAATGTTTTGACGTTTCATTTATTGTTGACTATTTTCTGTTGCATTGCTTTTAATACTTAAAATGTGTAGCCATGAAAAACTTTTGACTCCCTTTATTGTGTGTAATACTTTCGTATTTGGGGTTTGGGGCTTTTTCTTACAGATGGGTGATATTCTAGTTTTCTTTACGCATGCCCTTCCTGCACGTCTCCACCGGAAGTAGCCAATTATTGGCACAGGGCGCCTCTTCTTGTCAACACTCACTCATCATGGTTCAAAGGACCTGCATTTCTTTTGAGACTTGTGCTATAAGCATTATTGTAAACTTGAATGTACAGATTAAAAAGTTACAGGGAAGAATACGCCGAGCATTAAACTTACAAAACTGTCTTTTTGTTTATTGTTGACTTACTGTCCCAAAAGTCAGGTCCTTAAATTATTTGTTTTGACACTTTCAGACTCTGGTTTTAGTTGATAAATCTTGGCCCGGTTCCAAGAAGCAAAAATTGTGTTTTCTATAAAGAATCACTCTCGCTGTCAAAAGGCAAAAGACGGGCGAAATTTCTTTTTTCCCCGAGTTTGTGTTTGTCTGTTAGCAAAATTTCTCATGAACTGCTGGACGCATTTTACTGAAATTCTCGCCAAGTATTTATTGGTTATACTGGACGTCTAGAGCACAATAAATTAATTAATTAACTAATTAATTAAATTGCTATAACATAATTAATTTTTAAAAATGCTTAAAATTATAATACTGTATTATAGAGACTGTTCCCCAACAAATATTCTATAAGCACTAACAGATCACAATCTTTGTTTGAAATTTAACTAGTAATCAACTCTGCCCTGTAGCCAACAGACACATTTAAATGTAACTCAGTCATCAGCATCTCATTACGTTTGAAGGCAACTTATTCAAGACGGCTGCCATAGTAATTTGTTTTTACACAAAATAGCTAAAATTAAGCCAATTTTACAGTCAGCTAAAATGTCAATGTTGCTGAGTTACTATAACATAATGGTATTTGTTTAGATTCCTTGTTTTCGAAAACGAGAATGGATGTCTGTCTCTTTCACAAACACACACAAACACACACACACACACACACACACACACACACACACCAGAGAATCTTGCAAGCGCCAAAATGCACTCCATGTGGTTTAAAACGGTTTTATTTCGACATCCTACTTATCAAAACACACATATAAAATTTTCACAAAGAGTTTTTCTTTCCTTTTAAAAAATGTGAACATATATAAAAAGAAAAAGAGAATTATCATGAAAGAATAAAATATGCTTCTAAATACAACAAAGTACGTATTGGAATAGAGGCTTTAATAGCATATTAAACCGGAAATACAACAAATTGTTTAATGCAACATTAACATAAAACACTAAAAATAATAATAAAACACTGTAGGAAATTATTTTCATAAAACCCTGTAACCCTGAGACAATCAGCTGAATTTACAGTCACTGCTGTGCATTTTCTGCTCCTCTAATTAGGCGGTTTTAAAATACTGAATCATACAAAAAAAAAAAATCAATATAAATTTTGAGAACTGAAAAAACGCACAATATGGCTACTTTCCTACAAAATGTTGTAACATTATTTATTTACCTATCCTTCAGAATGAGCCACAACAGTCTGGTCTTTCTGCTGCTGGTTTTATTTCTTCTGTAAGCGCCAGTTTGTTGAACATTTTGGTCACGTGCATATTCATAAATTAGTCTACTTTTACCATTTTTAGGTAGCTACAAAACCCTGTAATATATGTTTACCCTGTAGAAATAAAAACCCTGTTTTCTCCAAAAACGCACAACATCTCTCTCTCTCTCTCTCTCTCTCTCTCTCTCTCTCTCTCTCTTCTTTTAACAAATGGCACCATGCTTCCAGCGCCATGTTGGTTGTTTGATATTGTACCATACATTCATGGATTAATTAAATATGAGACCGGAAGAGGATGCGGCCTCGGATTTAACCTGTAAAGTGGAATCCTTCAAAATAAAAGCATTTAAAAAAATGAAAGGATTCAAAAAGCTTTGTGTTGAAATTTAAAGCAGTTTATAATTATCTTCACGGCTGCAGCCATCTTAAATCAACTCTGCAACCTCGGCTTTGAAGTAAAGATACCTCTGGCAGCCATTTTTTTTTCTCCTAAATCTGTTTTCAGACACTTATCGTTTCCTTCACCATGTCGCTGTTGTTGTTGTCCTTGGCTTTCTTGTTTTTGCTCCTGCCTTTGGTGTTGGGCAGCTTGTTGTCCTTCTTCCAGCGCATGCGCCGGTTCTGGAACCACACCTTCACCTGCCGCTCGGACAGGCAGAGCGCGTGGGCCACCTCGACGCGGCGGCGGCGCGTGAGGTAGCGACTGAAGTGGAACTCCTTCTCCAGCTCCAGAACCTGCTGGCGCGTGTAGGCCGTCCGCAGGCGCTTCGGCTCCGGGCCCAGGTGGTTCGGATTGACTGCAAAACAACAACAACAATAATAATAATAATAATAATAAACTTCTTTAACTACGAAAATTGTAATTTATTATTTTAAGGTCAGAAGAAAACTTAAAATAAATCAGATGTCATTGTGAACTTAAATCCAAACATCTATGTCTTCTTGGTTGAACGATTTTTTTTTTCTTTTTTAACTTTTACCTCAGACCTTTTTTGTTTAGCACAACGCTCTCTTGCACACGCGCGCGCACACACGCACACTGTGGAAGGGCCATAAAACTTTATGGGGCTGTAATTCTCGCCTGGACTCACTGAGCTCGTAAATAACTCGGCAACAAAAACGATGCGCAAATGGAAGGAAGGGTGGATGGATGGAAAAAGGAAAGAAAGAAACAAAGAAAGAAAAAAGTAGTCTCCTCATCCATCTCACCATGCGCAACGTGCACTTTCTTCATCCAGGGGTAGACAACAATGGGCGGCTTGTCTTTGCCCATGCAGGCCGTTTTCTTCTGCACCTGAGCGGACTTCGTGCTGCAGGTCACCCAGGCTTGGTGACACCCCAGCTCTCCCACCGGGAACCTCTCCTTCCCGGCCGCCTCTGCCTTTCTGAACGCCGGGTAGGCGGCACTCTGATGCTGCGAGTGGTCCTCCCCATCCTCCCGGTGCTGGCCCTGCAAAGAGTGTTGGTAGCCGGTTTGTTGTGATGCGTACGCAGGCTGATGGGGCTGCATTGGCTGATAGCCCCCTCCGTAACTACCACTGTCCTGGGGGCTGTTGTAATACCCCCCTTGGTCAGTAAAATTACTGTAATCTTCTTCACAAGGCGGGAACTGCGGCTCAGCATATTTACAGCTCACCACGTAGGACTCCATGATTGATTTATAGCGAGGCTAGCAGGAGAATACTAATTTTTCTTTCTATCCCCTCTCTCTGTCTCTTTTCCCCCCTCTGGCATCAAGCCATCCTGCGGCTGTCAAATAGACGGACGGCCGCGGGGGTCACATGACCCTGCGGCCAGCCAATGGGAGGCCGCACTTTAAGTTGTTTATGTCAGACGTAATGGACTAATTTGGAGGAAAAAAATGTTCATCTTTGGACTAATGAAGATGTTTGAAGCCGTCTGAGAAAAAGACCACGATCTGGACGTTTGTGGAGCCTGAGAAATAGAAATAAAAGTGCAATAAAATGTTCAAATTGAACTGACATTAAAAAGTAAAAATCTATACTTTCTATCTATCTATCTATCTATCTATCATCTATCTATCTATCTATCTATCTATCTATCTATCTATCTATCTATC